CTCAAAGTTTGGATAGTTATTACTAAACTCTACAGAATGAGTTAATTCATTCTAATATCTGAAGCTATATCCTATCATTTCACTTTGGCAGATCTGCTTTGAACTCTGCCACTCAAATGCCAGCATTCCACTTAAGCTCTTCTACTGTCAAAGTGGACAATGCTTACTGCAGGCGAAGATGCACTCAGCTCAAGCTATGGTGCAGAAATGGCAAGTTTCAATCAAAGATTAATCCAAATTAGGTATGAGTCAACGTTCTTTCTGAAATCTGCCCCTGACTACACCTTTGCAGCTACCTGCCTAGGAGGTGGCTGACTAACTGGGCAAGAATGCAGGTCAGAATTTGCCATGTGTCAACAATGTGTCAATCTTGCCACATGATAAACTGGTATCCAAAGTTTAATAGGTTTGTTTTTATTTAGGTGACAACATAGAATATGAGTATTCCAGGCTCTCGCCAGAGTTAAATAAAGAGTTTTCTGCTGGGATAGTCAGACATACCTTTATATAAAGTTAAAGTTACATACCTGGACCATATTAGTCATACCTTTCACAGAAAAGATTTTAGTTATTATATTTTAATGTCGTATTCTCAGTTTGGAAAACAGAGAGCCACCAACAAACCACTAAGCTTTCTTTTACCAGAATGAAATTTGTATAATTTATCTTTCCCTTTTCACTCTGACTTCTAAATTTCAAAACTAAATTACAGTAACCACATTACACAAATTACTGCAATTTGTATATTTACTTTTTCTTCCTGTTGCATTGATTTTTGTTTCTTATCTATATTTTAACATTCTCACTGTATATACATATATATATAGTTTTTGTGGTAAGTTGCTCAAATCCTTTTTACAAGTAGTAAGAGGAATAAATTATAAATAAAACTTCACTGTTAAGAAGCCTATTCTGCTATTTAACATTGGAAATATGGTTATGCACTCAAAATTCTAGTTCCTAAAAACAGAGTGAATAAGCCTTTTAATACAAATGAAATTATATGAAAATTCATGCTGAATGAATTTAATAGCATTGTGAGTTGCCAGAGAAGCAGGAGGCCCAGGAGACTGAAACTAGCCCCCCCAAAACAGAAGCAGACAGAAGTTCAATGGAAGAGTGAAGTGAGCAATACCTTCCATATTGCAAAGATGTGAACGGTGCCCCCTGGATTCACCAACAAAGGGCCCCACTTCACTGGGCAAGAGCAGTCAGTGAAGTGGGGGTCACTGCGGCTAGTCTGCGGTGGGATGGGGAGCAGGAATTACAAGGCGGAAATGCAAGCATCCTCTCAGCTTCTAGAACCCGAGAGAGGCAGGAGAGAGACAGCTAGAAGTGAACAGGAACGAAGGAGGGATTTTCTCCCCCACGTCCCTTTTTTTAACAGGAAAGACTTGCGTGTTTCTATATTTATTCACCAGCTATTTATTAGGCGCCTTCAACATGACAGGCAGTTCCAGGAGTCTGGGATAAATCAATGAACAAAACAGGTAAACATCCATGCCGTGGAGGAGCTCGCGTTCTAATAGCGGGAGAGGGGACATTAGAATAATAACTCAGAATGGTAGGAGATAATAAGCAGTAGTTGGGAGGGAAAGTACGGCCCGGTCGGGGGAATCGGAGCAGGGTGGGGAGGAGCGCCGCGCAGGTGCACGCGCGAGGTCAGGGTAGGCCGGCTGAGGTGCTGAGGTTCAAGCAAAGACTGGCCGGAAGTGAAGGAGTTAGCCAAGCAGCTTTTCAAGGGGAAGAGTGTTTCCGGCAGAAGAGTCAGAGCAAAGGGCTGAAGGTGGGGCTGGCCAGCTGTGTGCAAGGAACTGTGGGGGAAACAGCGAAAGGGGAAAAGAGAAGTAACCCAAAGATTAGAAGGCAGTGACACCCAAACGCAGGCCAAGCAAATCAGCTGAAGAGAAGAAGGGTAACCTGTCCTCCTCCACTGGAGGAACAGGGTGAGAAAGGAGGCAGAGGTTTGTCAGGAGAGGAAGGGAAGCTGAGGGATCCACGCCCTTTTCTTTCCTATGGGGCGGCAGGTCAGGTTTCGTGCAAGCGTGGGACAGTGGGGAGGCGTTAAGTGGTCGGGATTTTAGAAAAGCCACTGCGCTGTGGAGAATGGGGGTGGGAACTGAGAACTGCTCCAACAGACGCCAAAGACAGCCTTGGGGAGACCTAAGACTACGCGTTAACTGAGCCAGCGCTGTGTGAGGTTTCTCCAGCATGTGAGTAAGGAACGACGCATGGATGCCATCTGCATAGTGGGCCTTACGACATAATAAAGAATAATTAAAAACTGCAAGTGCTAGTAAGAAAATAGCTGAAGCAATGCACCCCACTAGTCACAGTGTGGAAAGGAAGACAAAGAAGTAAAACGTGCAAGAGGCTGAGGGTCCAGATTTCAGGGGGGGAAACACACGGAAAGACACTACAAAAATGAGAGCTGTCAATTAGAAGAGTTTAAGATCTGAAGGTGGACTTGAAATCCTTACATAGATCTGAGGGTGATGGTATGTTAGATGTGGCCACAATCCTGAGTTACTGGAACAGAATGAAGCCAATGTTTGCTTGAGCTGAAGTCAAGGAATTTTAAAGTTAAGGGTAGTCACAAAATAAGTTCAGCATAGTGGTGGTTACCTACTACCTCTAGTGACCTGAGGAAGCCACCTAGCCTCTGTCTCCGTTTCTTCATCTGTAAAATGGGAATAGTGGTATCTATTTTATATGGCTGTCATATGGATTAAAGTAGTGAATAAACATAAAGTGATTAAAAAAGAGTCTGGCACACAGAAAGAGCTTAATATGAGTAAACTATTTTATCATTATTGTTGTTTTTGTTTATACAGTTATTGCCTGCCAGGATGATATTAGAAATTCGGATGGAAGGGAGAACTAAGTCAAGAATCAATGTCATCAAATAGGGCAATGGTAAAGGGCCATGTAGTTGAATGATATGCTTTGGCATAAACGATGTGATTAAATATTTTAAATATTTTAAAGTCCATGAGACATAAGATTTACAATCTTATAACTTAAAACGTATATATGAACAACCACAAAACAGTCATAAAGTACCAATTGAGTATTAGATAATAAGCATTATATGGCAATTCAAAAGGAAAAAAGCTCTGACTGAAAATCATCAAAACCACCATGGCACAGGCAGCAGCACACTAAATTGTATTAAAACGGAAGAGCTGGCATTAACCTTATCTTACCATATCTTCACAAACAGTAAAATGTCAGTTCCTCGAGAGTAAAGAACTAAATCTCTACATGCACGCTCACTCAACTAGTAACTGTCATACACATGAGCGTAAATGAATCACTGGGCCATTAAACAAAAAGTCCAACTCATAAGATTTTTCCTATCACAATCAAATTTGTTTCGTTTATCTTCTATACTCACGAGCTGCACAAAAAAAAGTTGTAAGAGTATGTATATTTA